GGTTGGGCTGACAGGCCTCTTGTTCCCTGAATTGTCTTTCTGGCCCTTCTTGTAGATGAGTGTCACAGTTGCCAGCCTCCAGGTACCCAGGACTTTCCCCATTAACCAGAACTGCTGGTAAATGATGGAATGTGGCTTGGTGAGCATTTCCCACTGGCTTTCTTGATACTCTTTAGTGGATCCCATCTGGTCCCATAGGCTTGTTTGTGTGTCTAAGTGGCATATCAGGTCACTGACCATTTCCTCGTAGATTATGGGAACTTTGTTCTGCTCTCTCTGTCCCTGTCTTCCAGCTCAGGAGGCTGGGTACCTGGAAAACAACTGGTCTTGTAATTAAAGACTGAGGCAGTGAAGGCATTAGGTAGTCTTTTCCTCATCCTTTGTGACTGTGTTTCCACCTCACATCCAGTAAAGGATGGTGATACTCTTTAGCCCTCTTTTGTTATTAGTGTATCCATAGAAACATTTTTATTGTTTTTTACAGCAATAGCCATTCTGCTTGGTCTTTGGCCTTCTGGTTTTCTCTCTCCATAACTTCACAACACCCTTGCAGTCCTCCTGAGTTCCTGCCACTTCTTCCAAAGGCCATAAGCTCTTTTTTTTCCCTTGAGTTCTAGCCAAACCTCTTTGTTCAACCAGGCCAGGCTGCTTCCCCACCAGCTTGTCTTTTTGCATATGAGGATAGCCTGCTCCTGTGCCTTAAGATTTCTTTCCTGAAGAATGTTCAGCCTTCCTGGACTACTTTGCCCCTCAGGACTGCCTCCCAATGGACTCTTTCCACAAGGCTCCTAAACAGGCTGCCCTTCTGGAAGTCCCAGTTAGTAGTCCTGCAGTCCTCCTTCCTTACTTCTTCAAGAATAAAAAGCTCTTATTTTGTGATCTCTGTGTGCAAGACGGCCTCTAGCCATCACATCACCCTCAAGTCCTTCTCTGTGCACAAACAGCAGAACCAATGGGGAGACTTCCCTAATTGGCTCCCTCGCCAGCTGTGTCAGGTATGTCTCTTCCACACACTCTAGGAACCTCCTGGACTGTTTCCTCTCTACTGTGTTGTATTTCCAGCAGGAATTGCAGCAGGTAAGTTGATGTCCCCTTTCAATTAGAAATTATGAGACATCTCCCTGACATCTCTATTTTTACAGATTAGTTCATCTGCCTTTTCAGTCTGGTTGGGTGGCCTATAACAGACTCCTGTCAGGGTGTCTGTCTTGGCCTTTCCACTGATTCTTAGCCCCAAACACTCAACCCTGTCATCACCTTCATCAAGCTCTAGACAGTCAAAAAACACCATAAAATGCAGGGCTACCCAGTTTTTTTTCTGGATGTAACCTCCACTTGCAATATGAGAATGATATTGGTTTCCTGTACATCCTGTCCCATGTCTGTTTGAATGTCTTGCACATCCTAAGAAACTGAAGAGCAGTTCAGATCATACTGAGGTCAACACATAGTGGGTGACCAGCTGAAATTGCCACATGGGCTCTGTTAACTCAGTGTTGCCTGTGCAGACACCTACACTGTGCTCTAACCACTGACACTGGGCAGTCCTGGCTACTGATTCCAGGAGAAAACGTTAAATTCAACAAATGGTTCAAATCTTGTAGGTGACTCTTAGAGGCAGTGGTTATAAGCAAGTGATGTTGCTGTTTCCTTTAAAGTGTTTCTGCTGTGGTGCACAGTTAACTTTTGTGTTTGGTGACTTTTCCACACTAGTAGACACTGCTGCATCATTCACTTGCATTGCTGAGATGCATTCTCCTTTCTCCCAGCAAATCCTCTCTCAGTTATAAAATGAAGCAAAACTGTAATCATTAATTTGTTAAAATAAAAACTTAGAGTTGTCATTTTATTTCTTGAAGTGACATAGCTTTAGGTATGAAAAAGAATTTTCTGGGTAACTATAGCTGGTGAGAATTTATGCTGTGACTGATTACTTCGAGGGTAAATTTCGTATGAATTGTCTCAACAATGATAAATTCCTTATTGTTAGTTGCAGTCTACCAATCAAGCTAAGTTAATGCAAGTATAGCACACTCCAATTTTTTAAGTATACCACTGGAGGCTTTTGCAGATTATTTTGAATTGTGACAAAGTCCTGTCAAGATAAATTCTAATTATGCTTTTCTAAAATATTTAAATAAAAGCAGAATCTAGGCCACCAAAATATTTTAAAATGTTAAGCTTATGTTCTTTTAGTTAATCAGCTAGAGATGCATTTAAATTACATATTTGTTTTGTTCATTTTCTGATTACTTAGAATATAATCTTCAAAAGCTTATCTGAATTGAATATATAAACAGTGTACAGAAAGTCCATTTAAACGTGCTTTTTTCAGTTGGGTTTCACATGATTAACTTTGCAAACTTTTAGACATTATTGCCACATTACCTTCTCTGTTTTACAGGAAAATCATCTGTCTTAAAATTAATGTTGTCCGTTATTTAATTTGTAAACTTCAAAGTCAGGACATTCTTACAACATAGGTGTGTGTGTATTGTTTTTTTAATGTAATAAATTTAAGGAACCAGTAAGAGCAGGGCAGCAAATAAATATTCAGGTCAGCTAAATATGGTGTTTGTTTACTCTGCAGAAAAGGAATTTAAAGCATTTTGTGGCTATTTAAGGGCATTTATAGAAATAAATTGTAGGATTGCCCTGTTCATCCAATCAGTCTTTGTTACCTTCAGATCTCTTATGAATCAGAGGTCAGATGAGTCAGAAGTCACCTAAATTAGTTTTTTGAAGTCTTTTGTTGTTTTAACAGGCAATGGAAAGAAAAAAAGCCGTTCTCAGTTTGCCTCTTGAATATCAATATTCTTGCATATTTATTTATTCTTTTCTTCTCTTTCTGATCAGCATCTTTGCTAAGTAAGAGATATTGTTTCAAGTAATTTTTGTTGTTAAAACACATTTCCGTAAGTGGTGCAGTGCAATTGGATAGTACCAACCATTTCCATTTCTTGGGAATAGGCAGTCATTTGTGGCAACTCTAGCAAATTCTAGAAGAATTTCTATTAATTTGTAGCTCTACAGAATTACCATAAAGCTACAGACTACGTAATTTGTAGGCCTTGATTTTCATTGCTTTAGAGAAGGTTATCTCTTCCTGCTATTGTACAGAAATTTTACTTCAAACAATCTTCAGTGATAGAAATATTCAGTCAGGAAGCACTCTCAAGGTGGTAGATTGTTTTCATTGGGCTTTGCTTATTTGCTGGTTTTGTTCATAGTTTTGTCACCATTTCTCGTGGATTTTAACAAGTTAGACTCACTAGGGCATTACAGCATCATAGCAGAAGTGAAATTTTAGTTAATTATTTTTCCAGGTTTAAGATTTTGCTGTAGGTACTTAATAACCCCAGAGTTCTGTCACAGAGAGCAGTGGCTCAATAAAGAGCACTGAGTTTTGAGTGTATGTCAGTCACATATCACTAAATGTAGCAGATGTGGTGAACTCATCTAAGGATTTTCTGTTTGCTGTAATTGACAGATAGCCCTGAGGTTTTTTTTATATGACAATTTCGGAAAAAATAATACCTCCTGCAGAGAAAGTACAGAAATGCTGAGAAAAATATTAAGTTATATGCCTTGAAGACCATAAGCTAAAAAGATTATATGTAGCCATAGTATCTCTGATCTGTGATAAAAGCATTTGCTGTTTCTCAGTCTCTTCATTTGAGAGTATAAACCAGCAAATGCCTACAAGTCTCATGAATTCCCTGTATATAAGGGAGGTGGCATTTGGTCATTTGTTGGAGTAGGAATAACTGAGTCCTTCAGCATAAATGTCCAGCTCAGGAAATTAGTTATCTAGGCTCTCGAGCTGACTTCAAATGCCAACTTGATTTCTTATTTAAGTTCTATTTCAGACAGTTTTCTGTAGCATTTCTTCAGCTTTTTTTGTCAGTAAACCTTCTGAAATAAATTAAAACCTTGAATTCACTCCAAGGCTTGTTACATTTAATAAGTTGTATGTCCTTGAATGAGGAAAGGGAAAATTTTGACCAAAACATATATCCAGCCCTCTTTGTACTGATAAAAACATCTTGATATCCTATTTATAAATTACAGTATTCAGGATACGATTTTTCTTTTTTTCTTTTTCTTATGCTGTAATTTGCATATTGTAATTTCTTATTAAGTGGAACACATTAGATATTTTAACATTATGCTATTAAAATATCTTTCTTGCATGTGTATTCTGATAATGCAAATGCCCTGTGGTATATGAAAGTCTGTTAATTTTAAGAAAAAAAAAATTGTTACTTATTTTCTTTATGATTTTGCTATCAATTAATCTGTAATATGAGAACCAAGAATGAGATAACCAGGGAACAGATTTAACCTTATTTTGAAGTTACTACATTTTGGGGAACAGGGTAGAGGGAAATGTTTTTCAGTGTGACATAAAAACTCATACACTATTTTAAGGGAGAGGTTTTTGCATTTGATTGTTGTACAGATCTTACTTTTACCTCTTAATTACTGTGTTTCCTTTCTTGAAACTGAGTACAGAGACAGTATGCTGATAGTGAAACTCTTAGGTCTCACACTATCTCTTATATGTACTATCCCTGTTCATGTGATTTGCAGCAGCTTAAAATATTTCTTTCTGAGACTTTTTGCTTAGCTTAATGTTCCCCTCCATGGTCTAAAGGAAAGAGCCATGGTAAATGAGCATTGCATAAACATTTTCAATGTAAGAATTTTTATTTGAGTTTAAAATGGTTCTGTTTCCTGTTATTCTTTGTTCTCAGGAGAATAATGACACTGTTTTAATCCAAGGATCAGTAGTGTCAGAATTCTTAGGAATCTGCATTTTTTCTGTTCTTGTTTTACCTGACTTTTGCACCACATGTTCAAAAGAAACTGAAATATTTGGTTGTTCTAATTACTGCACAACATGAAGTATTTAAGGCCTTCTAAAGGTATCAATAGCACTTACACTTTTCTCTGCAGTGAACCCTGTGATACAGTTTTTAAATTATTTTCTTTTTCAGGTTCCTTACAGCCTTTCCTGGAAGCCTGCAGTAATGAATCCTTTTTCCGGACTTGCTCTGTATTGCTTCAAAGTTCTAAGCTAGATATTGCAGTTTTGGAAAAGCTCAGTGTTATACTGCAAAAACTCTCCAGAATAAAGTAATCCTTTATTACTGTTACTCTGTTACCTATTATTAGGTCAATGAACTTGGTGATCTTTATCTTTTTTCTTTTCTAAAAACTCTTCTCTGTTTTTCTGTTTATTCCCTCCACCATATACGACACTGGACTTTTAATGTTAGCAGTTAAACTTAAACTGTTTCTGTCATTAAGGTTTAAGACAAGCCTCTCAATTACTGCATAAATCTAGTTCAATTTGCAGAGTACAAATTAGAAAAAAGCCTCACAATGTAGACTTAAAGAGGAATTATCCCTTATGTCTATAGGTGACAAAAATGCTTCGAATTCTTAGAAGGGAATCCTAGACTTTCAGTTTTGCTCAGATACTTAGTAGTAAGCTCCTTTGAAAATCTAGTCTTATCTTTGACTTGCATTCAAGCTTCATCAGTTTTCATTTCGTTCAAAAAATAAATTTAAGATTTTTGAGCCAATTAAGCCCTTTTGAGAATGTTCATCTTTTTAAATGTTGTTCCCATTGCTTACGGATTATTGTTTTATTGTAACAAAGGTCATCATATCAATAGTAATGAGCTGCTGAGCTTCACTGGCACAATTCTCAGTGGGGTTGTTTTGTTTATGTAGGGGGATGTCTAAACTGAGTAATTTTTTACATTGGACTTAAAGCTGTTGGCAAAACTGAGGTTTTCATTTCTTGTAAGAAATAAAACTGAACTCTAGGAAAAAAGTTTTCCTATAAAATAATCTAATATAAGTTATAACTGGCAATTACTAGTAAATTACTAGTTTAAAAAGTAAAACTGGCTCATAAATCCTAATTTTTTAAAATTTATTGTCTCTGAAATCTTATTTCACTGGAGTGAAAAGCCCTGTTACAGCCTTTCCTTGATCTCTGTTTCTACTATGTGTACATATCGCTTACTCAAGAAAAATGATAATTTTTTGTTAATTTTTGCCAAATTTTTCTCACCATGCATTGATAACCTTATGCTTAGAAACATTCGTAAAGAGTCATATGAAATACTCAAAATAATGCACAATTTATTTCATTAAAAATAGATTTTCTGTAGCATCTTTAGTGCTTATGTGAAACCACTCAATTTTCAATTGACAATTATTTTATTCAAAATCTTTTGCAGAAGAAATAAGAAGATGTTTAAATTGTTTGGTCTTCATCAAATATTCCGAGAACTACGTAGAACTATAGATCCAGGTCACACCTTCCTCTGTATAAACCTCAACTCAATTCTGCTGAATTTGGAATTCTTGAGGAGTAGCTCTCTTTCCCCCAGTTTAAGCACAAGTGATTAGCACTAGCTTTCAATCTAATTATTGTTCTGTATAATTTATACCAACTCTCTGTGTTACTTGAAATTTGGAGTCGGGCTATTTTTACTGATTTGTATAAATACATTAAGCAGCATCTCAGTGCTGTGTAATTCGTAGTGTATCGTGTGGATTCTTACTTATATTTCACTCATTCATAAAAAGGAAAATGCAAAACTTTGTAATATGCTAGATGTGACTTTCTTCAGTATTTTCTAGAGAAGTGAAATAATGTTGCTGTTGTGAATGACTCGGGCAATGCAAGCAATTGAATCCTTAGAGTAAGCAGATCAGAAATACCAATCTTTCCTTACTGGTATGAATCTTACTTACTTTTGACACTTCGGAGAGCTTTATAAATTCTTTAATTTATTGTATGGTTGAAAAGTAGCAGGCAGGCATCTTTTGATAATCCTGGAAACCAGATTCTAATTTAACATAACTAGATTAATTGAATGAGAAATGTTGTTGTTTTGGTTTCAGAATTTCTTAGACTTTGTTTGATCTTTTCCTGTATTTAAGTAACATTTAGTATTTTATCCTGCTTTGTATAGTGCAACTTTGGATGGTAATATCTTTGCAAATGTAAATAAAAGCATTTCTTAAAATGTCTGGCAATAGTAATCTGTACCATAAAATTATTGTATTTTACTTCTCCTGTATTTTGTGTTACTTTGCAATACCATCTTCACAGTACCCATGTATATATTCCATGAAAGTATATTCCATGAATATATTTTTTGTCTGCCACAGTTCAATGTTTAAAAGTTCTTACAAATTGGAAATAGGATACTTCTAAAAATTGAAATTAGTCTTCCACTGCTGATTTGTACTGTAATTACTGAAAAACTGTATTTGTAAAATTGAAAATGCAGTTAAAGCTTGAAGATCTGCTGTATTTCAGTCTTTGGCTAAGATTGACATCAGTATAAAACTTCAGAGAGTTTTTATTTCTCATTTTTGCCTTTTCTTGTTTGTTTGTTTATTTTTGGTTTGGTGTTTTTTGGTTGGCAGGTTTGGTGGTTTTGTTTTGTTTTTTGTTTGCTTTGTTTTGTTTTTGATTTCTGTTTTGATTTTTTGTTATTTTGTTGTTGATTTTGAGGGGTTTTTTGGTTGTTTGTTTTTTACCAGAAGTCTTTGAACTGGTCTTTGAAATTGAATTCTGACTGCAAATACTTTTCTAGCAATCTGATGTAACACTTCTAGCAAGCTTTTCTTTGAAAGGAGTCTACACCAGTTTTGGCACCAAGTATGTCTAGAAGAGAGAGCAAGCACTGTGCACTCTCTGGGCAGGAAACCAATTCTAGGTAATTTTTAAATAACACTAATCATAGCTAAAAGCATTTTCTGACAATCAATTACTTTTTGAAATAAGTATTTTTTCATCAGTATTTTGGCTTTCTGTCAAATTTATGAACAGTGCAAAAGCTTGCATATACCTTTGGCTGGAAACAAAATCCTATTATTTGGGGAGAATATTCCCAGTCCTCATGTGCTTCTCCATCTTCTGCCATTTAAAAATACTACAAAATCAATAATCAGAAAAACCTGTAGAAAGTTGCTAGCTTTCTTATCTCCACAGGAATGTTGATTGTGCTCTTAGTTTTCAGCCTTCAATGCTGTAGTTTGTTAATCTACTTATTTTCCTTGGGATCTCAATTTAACACAAAGTGGTCATCTAATAATGGCAAAGGTAATGCATTTAAAAGAGACACAGAGTATGGTGTAGCTTTTAATACCAGTCCCTTGTGGTTTGTTTACAGTCTGGGAGGTTGACTCGCAGCTAATTTCAAGGTTTTATGATCTAAATGTTAGCTTTCTGTGAAAATGCAAAATAAAAGGATTTTCCAATCTGTTAAATATCAATGCATTATATTGATGACCTAAGGATTAGACTAATCATTTTGATCTTACATGAATTTTTCAAGGCCAGATTAGAAGGGGCACTGAGGTACCTGGTCTAGTGAGAGGTGCCCCTGCCTTGAACATCTGCCTTTTGAGCCAGCCCACCCCAGTTGTCCACACCAGCCCTTGTCATGGCCTTGCTCAAATCCCCATCCTGTTATCATTCCCCTGAGTGACCTTGGCAGTCTCTTGTGGGGAAGGGGAATAGAGGAAGCCAGTTGCATTCCCTGCTATCATTTATGGATTTATTTTGGCTTTTGGAAATTATAGATTTCAAGTTTGCCGCACTTTGGGCATCTCTTTGTATTGTCTTTTCCTCACAGATGGAATCTAGAATTTTCTGGGGGTTTTTCTGCTTTTGTGGCATTTAGATACTATGAGTATCTAAATTCTTTCTACCTTACCTTTCTTCCAGAAAAGTGTCTATAAGAAGAGACATTTGAAAAAGTTAACTGTACCTCTAGCTATTTCCTGCAGCTCCCTATTCCCTAAGGAAACATGGGATATGTGATCTCAGTGTTCTGGTTTCCTGCAGAAGAATATGCTATTTTGAATATGCCAAACATCTCTGTCAAGAGATGGATTAATATCCATCCAGAGAATATAATTTTTCAACCATTTTTTGGTGAGAGAATTTGAGGGGAAGCGAGAGATGTAATGACCACTTGCCATTAAAAGAAAGGCAGGAACTCTCACACATTCTGTGAGCTGATCAGTCAGAGCACAGGGCTTCAGACTGCCTACAGTCTGCCTTGTCTTGCTTATGTGTAGGTCTCCAGAAGTGATCAGCTACCATCACTGGCACAAAACAAAGAAAATTTCTTGTAGTCACAACCTACTACTTTAAGGAAAGATAAAGAATTTACACACAATTTTGACTTGCTGGTTTTTTTGAACAGCTGTGAGAGTCCCCTTGTTGAGAAAGTCAGCAAGAACATTGCATCTCTTCGTGATGAGACAGTTTTCATAGCAGAACAGACTAAATATGAAGAAAAATTATTTCCTTTTATTTTTCTTACAGTCCTGTCTACTGTAGAATTGTAATCACCCTTGCTGTTTATCAAAGGTTTCCTACTGATAAATATTTCAGACCTCATTTACAAAGCCTAGATCTAGCAAATCCGTAAGACAGGTTGTTCCCTGGGCACAGGACAGTTGTATTTGCCACAGTAGCTTGCCACAGCTAAATAAAGTGGGCTGACATTACCCAACCTGCACAGTTGTGCTGTGTTTCTTCCTATTTGTGACTTTCACCAGCTGATAAAAGGTCTGGAAGTGGGATTTCACAGTTACCTTCCCGTTCTCCCCAGCATGACTGGCTTGCATCTCTTTCTAATGTTATATAACTGAATTTGATGTATATAATAGGGAAAGATTTCTTGTAGCAGATAAATTTACCTGGAAGGTGAAGGTATGCCGAAGGCAACATATTTTGAAGAACTTCTATTCATGGTCAGCATCAGTGTCTAAAATATATGATTTAACTTACCAGACCAGATTTAAAAGGAGCTGTAAGTAGAGCTCATAATTCAGAGTTGTTACACTGGATCCTTTAATTATATACTGAATTTTTCACCTAAAACTTATATGGCTTTGGAGATGGATGATCAGATATAAAGCATTTATCTTCAGGATAATGTATTTAAATGTAGTACAGAAAGCTGGAAATTTTGATCTATGAAGGAATTTGGTAATCTTACACTTTCCAAATGGTTAAAGGGACTACAGTGGCAGAGCAGTGACCCCTTGTGTTCCTCTGATTGATGTAATGCTCACGTTTTTAAAATTCACAGAAATGATTGTAAAAGTAATAGTGCTGTGCAGCATTGAGATCCTTTTGCCTTTTACACACCCCTGAAGAACACTGTGATGGGCAAAGGCAACTTTATGTGTTACAATGACTCTCTTGCATTGTGTTGTGCCAAAACCACCACTATCCATCTTGTCTTTTGGACTGATAAAACCCTGGAATGCCATTTTCTGACCATGGTTAGGAATATCCTAGTTTATTAGACTTTTGTTTTAAGTTTGAAAGCACGTGTATCTATGACTACCTTATTGTTACTAAAAGAGATAACTTGGAACAAAACCACTTTCTGTTTACTTGCTTGTAGGTATGTTTTTTTAATGGTCCTGAGTTGAAATTTAACAAGACATAGTGAGACATTCTGATCTCTAAAGTAACACTGAGAGAATTAACTGAGGAAGAGATCTGAGCAGTCATATGTATTTTTTCCCAGAAGTCAGTTCTCTTTGTGTCCATTGCTCAAGCATGTTTAGACTGGACCCAAGGAATATTTCCCTGAATATAACACATCTCTCTGATCACTGCAGCTTAATGGTAAGTAACCACTCTGATAGGTGTACCCAAGCTAGGGCTGCAAATTCAGTGGCCAGAATACTGCTAACAATAGTTGAAAGGTGAACACAAAAAACATTCCTACTAATAAGTTTACTCTAAGATCATCTTCAAGTCCATAAAATGACATCCTTAGTACAGTTAATTATGGAGAAAAACAAGTAAAAATAATCTATCCAGCCTCAGGGGGAAAAAAGTATCATATGGTAGAGTTTCAAACAGGAGCATAATATCCCACCCACACATCAGCTTTTTGGAAAAGTAGCAGGCTTTTGAAGCAGGTTGGAGATAACTACTGTTGCCAGACTGGGTTTTTTTTGCTTCAGAAGAAGCAATATTCTAGTGTGTGGATTCAAGAGTAATTTATATAAGAAATGCCATTAAACGTAATTGCTTGGTTCATGATCCTTCGAAGCCACAAAGTAGCAGTTGGTTATCTGCTTGATTTGTCCTCCTCCCCACTGAAGTATGAGGAGGACTTTTTACACAGCAGTCTTGCACACCAAGGGTGATTTTCAGAATTTCAGAAGCAGATGCTGAACTCTTTTCTTCCCTGATTCAGTTTTTCTACTAATCAGTCTTCAGCACTACCTCTTCCTGATTTTTTGTTTACTTCTACGTGGAGATTAAATTGGAAAATAATTCCTGAATCATCTTGCTATACTAACTTGAATCTTAATATAAGCTTCTTTCTATTGCAGCCTCAATTATTAAAAAAAGTCTGTTTTTTATTAAAGCAGATGGACAAATGAGATGCCTGTGTGTGCCCTGCTAATCACTAATGCCTTCTACAGCAGTGCATACAAAGGCTTCTTACCATTCTTCCCTGAGTATTCAGACAGTCTAGTTTCACAGAACAGTGGCAAAAAGAAATCAACATCTTTCTGTCCTTGAAGAGTAGTTGATAGTGATAAATTAATGCCTGAAATAACAGATGGTATGTATTATAAATCATATCACAATAAATAATCAAAAGATCTTATTTGGATGTGGGGATAGAATATATATGCAATATTATGCATCTAGAACTAGATATAGCCTGAGACAGTCCATTTTTGCCCTGTTTATATTAATATATTCGGTGAAATGTGTACTAGGAAGCCTTTCCCATACATAATGAGGACATGGGCTCAATTTTCTTTTCATTGGCAAGACAAGTATAGAGCTTGCTTGCAGAAGAGTGAACTTCTGCATACAGGAATCATTGTTGTGCCTCTGAGTCATGATTTTCACCTGCAACAGTAAGAATTTTCCTCTTAATTACACCTTCCTTAAAGCAGGACTGCTGAACTGTCTGAAGCTTAGAGTTTGACAGGGAGAAATAGAACTGGCATGCCTTTTCAGCTCATCCTCCAACCCATGCTGCTGTACATTATTCTTTGTTCATGAATAATGTGAATATTATTAATTATCCCAAATTATGGAATACAAAGGCATTCAGCTGTTACTGCTTTATACTGCAAAGCTGGCACCTACCCTTTTCAGCCCAGCTTAGCTCTCTTCCTTTTATTTATGTCATCAGTCCAGGACCATCAGATACTGAACACTATGTAGAGGACAGTCCCTGACTGCAACCTGAAATCAAAGAAAGTCTGCAAAATCCAGCAAGTTTCTCTAAGGAAAAAGCTGGCACAATATTGGTCAGGCTAGGATTAGGTGAGGAAAGTCTTACAAGGTAGTTAGTGGGGAAAATCCAACTTGATGCTCTGGTTTTTTTTACAGAAGCTAGCAGTTCTTCTGGTGGTTCCACCTGTGCAGCCTAAGACTGCATGAACACAATTATCCTGTCATGAAGTGAAAGCTTCCAGTTAAGATTTCTGATAATGTTGTGAAGTACTGCTAATTTAGAAATGCAGAGTGAAGACATGCTAATGAGAGTAATGTTACTGTGACATTACTCACCAGTTTCACAGTCTGCAGAGTTCTCTGTAAACAGATAAAAACTTAGAGATTCTCTGAGGAATTACAAGAGGCTTGGCATTTTCACATTACCTTCAAGGTGAAATACTGAATACAAATTCTCTTGACAAAATGGTTTATGCTTCAAGTTTCCTAAGTGATGCAGAGAAGTGGTATCCTACAGGAATGCAAAGATTGCTCCGTATATGTTACCAAGGCACTCCTGTACCACAGGAATGTGCCTGCCAGCCGTTGGCTAACCTATTTAATTGCAGGTTTATAAGGCAATGTGCTATTTAATCAAAGAAATGGCTAATGCAACTGTGTTTGACCTGTTTCTTTTATTAGTATACTTTATGTTCATATTTTACAATATAATAAGTTATATATACAGCATTAAACAAAGTTATTAGAAAGTAAGCTTTGGCAAGACCTACAGGATTCTTTTTTCAATCCCGTATGTCTCTTGTAAAGCAATAAAAATACTGTATACTAAATAAAATAATGTTAAATAGTCTGTGTTCGCATTGGCACCATCAGTTTCAAAACCCTAACTTTTCATGGCCCAATAAACATAAAAAGAAGAAGATTCCTGTATCTTCTTTATCTTCTTTTTAACAAATAAGTGATGTGAAGTTTTAAATGACACATAAAACACAAGAGGCAGTCCACTGAATAACACTGTAGTTACACACTTGCACAAGAAAAATTGAATTTTTATGCTTTTTTTTTCTTTCTCTCCCTTTTGTTTTGTTTTCTTTTTATATTCTAGTAGCAATACTAAAACCTGCAAATTCATGGTCTTGAAAGTCATGTTGAAGATTGCTGAGCTGTAAGCAGACCTAGAAATCTTATTGAAGCCTGTTGAAATCTGTGTGAATTTGTCATTGATTTCAAGACAGCAAGTATTTCACACCTAAATTCAACATGCAGCTTGCTGCATCATTGAAAGAAGAGTTAAAATGTTATCAAATTTGGCATATGCAGATTAATGAAGAGTGTGTTATGATGTGAAAGAAAGAGTGGAAAAAGAATAGTGAGAGCGATAGGTTTTATGTTGCAGTATGTACTTCCCATGATACACAAATTAAGTGCTGAAATGATACTGAATATAGATGTTAAAGGGTGATGCTAAATGCTTTGCATAGTCATAATACTATCACAGATAAGATCTAGTTACTAAGTGATGGAATGCTGGTTGTTAAATTCTGGGTAACAGTAAGTATTTTTAATGGCATTTTGTTCAGTTGTGCATTTTGGAATTTAAGAAGTACTGCTTTGCAATTGACATGTCTCTTAATTTAGTGGTCGCACTTGGTGAAATCCACCATCGCTATTTTAGCTATAAATTAGGCAAATAGGTTTGGTAACAGACACTGACCTGTGGTCTGAAGGAGGTTTAGACAAATTTTAACTGTGAAGATCAGACATTAGTTTAAAGAAAACCAAATCAGGTCAATTTTTGTGCTTCACAAACTCACAATAATGCATTACCTTCCAGATGAGTTTAATGTCATCGGTAGATTCTATGCTCATGGTCTAGGCCTATAGCATTAAAAGAACTTTTTAATCCACATTTCAAGTGTCTCTAAAGAAATCTACTCTTTTTGCTCTTTGTATCACATGTGCACCACTGTTGTCTGGAATTCCTCTGGTTGGAATATAATTTGATATATAGATGTCACTATTGGAAAAGTATCTTTTTAATGGTAGTGGACAATCTGGTTTTGGTTTTGCTTTTTTCTTAACAGTAAAGAAAAGAAGATTTTGCTCTCAACTTGCAAGGAATAACTGCCCACTTTTTACTGCCCACTTGCTAACCAGCTTGTCCTCAGCAAGTCAGCAGTTTGAATTTATAATTTCTGAAATGTCATTATGGACCAAGAATGCATTTACGTGCATTATGTAGACTGTTTTGATGCACTTCAATCTGTAAGTTATGTCGACTTTTTCCATGTAGCATAGTTAATCTGAGGACTGTGCATATACACCTATGCACATACTTCTAGATTTAACAAATCCATAATAAGTGTAGAAAATTAAACTGTTCAGAGCAGACAGAAATGTATGTGCCTAATGTGTATTAATTTATATTATAGCTGTGGTACTGCTTCTGACTGTAACTGCTAAACCATTGAACCACTGAACGAAGCCCTAAGAGACATGAATATTTTCAGAGCTATTCAATGCCTTTCCTGAAGGCCAGGCAGGAAGGGTATCAGAATGGTTATTTACCCTTCTACTCATATACAGACTGCAAAACAGATATTTGTGTCTCCGCTTATAATCAGGAACTTTTTAACATGATCACTTTGTTTAATGATATGTTTCATGCCAAGCTTCTTGGGAAATTTCTGTTCTTGTTTTGTGTTACTTCACTTTCAGAAATCAAAGAGAAGAGCTTCCCATTGGTTATTGTGAGCAATTATGTAGAAGAAGCATCAATGGTCTTTAGTCCAAAGTCTTTGATGCAGTGCTTACTGGAATCACGCTTCTGATGGGGAAGTGTAGGCCCCAGGCAGGCATGTCAGGATGTCCCTGCTGGTTCAGGAGCTGGCATTGCTTGTGCCCACTCCAGAATGTCTGCACACAAGGATTCAACAGCATCCAATCGCTCTATTTGCACCAGTTTGGTGAGCAGTTCTGGGATGCTGTAGCCTGCTGTGCTGATGCGGTCGAACAGCTGCATGCCATCTGTCATCCCGCCAATCTCATCCCTCTTCAGCCCAAAGCTCTCGGCCAGGTGACGCCACGTTTTCACGATGGCTTTCTCTGTGTTGTAGGTTGAGCTGAGCATTCGGCTGGTCTTCTCCAGGCAGTCAAATGGCAGCTCCGTAGGGCTCAGACCTGCAAAGGGATGGGTGGATTGTCAGACGGCTCTGGGTACAAGTCTTGACATTTATTAAAATACAACAGATTACATTGTTAGCAATGAATACAACTAAAATCTTTAAGCGATAGTTGATGCTATATTTCTAGGTCCAAAGTTACTATTGCATGTTACCAAATTAATTCTTCATAATGACAATAGGACATCATAATTAGGGTAAAACGTTGCCTGGAAAAGAAGTAATAGATGGGTTGTATGAATTCCCATGGCTCTGCCCTTTCCTTCAACAATTTACTAGCTGTTAGAAAAAGTATATTGCAACTGTGTCCCTAGTGAGCAGCCCCATTAATACACCTCTGCACGTCAGGCTCAGTGTTTGAGCTCCAGAGACAGCTTTGACCCTTCCCTGAGACTGTCACCAGCAGCTGCTGAAACGTATCTGTAATTGAAAGTTGCCCTTGTAGGAAAGTGAGAAGTGAGGTGAAGCAATGATGCCAGATGCAAGCATAAAAGTCCCTGCAAGTGCTTCACTGTCATTACTGTCATGAATCTCTAGGGAGGATTTAACATTCATCCTGTGGGGAAAGGGCTATTTTCTCCTGGACATATTTTCTATGTATTCTTATTCAGAAAACAGAGGAGAGAACTAGCTACAGTATTTTTCCCAAACCAGACTTTTGCTTCTGTAGTTTTCCTGCTTCTTAACTCATCAGGAATAATTTGATGGGAGACAGAGCTCCCTGAATTACAGAATACTCATACATGTGCACACAAAGTGTGTGTGTGTGGTGGGAAGTAAATGCAGTCACATCTCCTGTTCTGCTGGGAATTTAATTTGTGTCTCCTGCTAAAACAGTTCAGGTAGTCAAGTGCTAAACAGAGTCAAAACACACCCTGGAAACTCCACATTTTGTTGTGAGATATGGGACAGAATTTAGAGAAGCAGAGAAGATTGAGAATTGTGTCATAACCTCAGTCCTGACCCTCCCCAAATCACACTTTCATATTTGGAACTATTTTTTATCTGTTATCTAAAGAAATAAGACCAACAGGTTTCCTTTAGATGGGGAATGCAAAACTGCTTCCCTGCACCTTGGTCTGTTTGTGTGTACCAACACAGCCCACCACAACTCTTCCTGCTCTCACAGGAAGGAAGCCCATGCATGTGCCAGAGAGAAGCCATGGCCCAAGCCCAGCCTGGACAGCTCTGTGGTCAGGACACCACAGGGCTTCTGGCAAGTGAATACAATCTGCCTACAGAGTGTCTCCTCTGGTTTGGGACTATTTTCCATAGACAGCCAGAGGCCCTTCTTTCTTTATAACAAATGCTTTTGATCTAATTTCATGCTTTTAACATAGGTGCAAATTGTACACTCACCTTCTGCAACGTCACATACGTTAGCATACACGTCAAGTATCTTTTTCCTTCGACTTTGAATCTAAATGAGAAGAGTTTAATTTCATTAATTTTTCAGTTACAAGATTAAACAATTAGCAGACAGCAGTGGGACATCTCCATTTCATGGAGTTATCACATAGTGTCCTCAAGGGTCCCTTTCGAAGACTCAAAGAAAAAGACATAGCAATTATTCCATGAAGCATAAACATATTTCTGATTTCACTTGCCACTGCTAGAGAGTTTTCATTTCAACTTCTAGACTTTTTTGAAAGCAAGTACTTTTCTGCTCCAAGTATTTGTTTATTTTATTTCTCTTTCAGACTGAAGCAAACTCCTGAGAATGAGAACAAATCCGGTACTATATATGCAATGATTAATGTAGGGATGTCTAGGTAGACCAGGTCAGGACTGGATACAGGGAATTAAATTCAGACTTCCCATAATCTAAGAGGATTGTAGAGGAGGGGCTCTTCCTTTCTGACTCTTGACATGGACCTGCTTAGTGCTTAACTAATTAACTAAAATATTTTTCGGATAGATTAAGAAAAAGAAGTCAGCAAAGCTTCAGAGAAGAAAAATCTGACGTCCAGGGGGATCTAGTCATTTTTGACAAGAAAGAAACAGGACTGAAAACCTGACATTTTTCAAGCTAAAAATGGACAGCTTTATATAGTTTCACTTAGCAAAATATTCGCAAGTTTTGGCTTTGGATTCAATGTGGAGTGAAAACAAATGTCAAAATGTCATGAGCTCTCAGGGACTGAAATTTTCTTCCCTGTGCCAGCTCTCATTAGGACTAAGCTTTCTGAAAAGCTGTCTTTTTGATAGGACTCCAGCATTATCTCCACAAATTTGTCACTTCTCATTGCAAACAAGACTAGAATAAAACCTCTGCTTTCATTACTTTGCTTTGTGGAAAGATTTTCCTCATTTTATTTGGGCTGTAGAGGACAAGGTGCATCAATGACATGGATTAATGGACTTGCAGCTGGAGAGCACCAAGTGGCTGCTCCACCTGAAGTGAGTGCATTGTACTGCAGGGAAATGCAATGCAGACACTTAGAGTGTTGTTCACACCCTCCTCGTGCAATTTACATGTGCTTAGTGTTGCTGCTGTAGGCTTGGATTATCTGTTTTAGAACCCTGATAACAGGACATTTTCTTTTCATGGGGTTTATTAAAACTCCTCCTGAGAAAACTATTGGATGCTTATTTTCATTCTCCCTCCACTTTTAGAGTAAAGAAGCAGGTTAAGTAATTCCATGAAGAATTATGTGGGATGCTCCTTTTACCAGGGCCAGAAGATGGGGGATTTTTAAACCTTAAGATGAAAACAAACAGGAAATGTTAAGCTGATGATCTTCTGTGTGGTGGCTCATTGCAAATGGGTTTTGTTATAGCTAGGAAGAAGACTTGGTTAATAGCAAGCCTCTAATTTTCTTTATTCTGGGCCAACTACTCTGAATACTCTTTCCTGTGATAGTAATGCTACTTAATTGCCAAACTGAAGAAAATTTCTGATTTTCTAACTTCTGGCAACTGGCTTGATTGTGACATCCTAGGTATGGAGTGGAGAATCTTGATGCAATCTGCACTTTCATTGAAAAGTCTGTCTTCAGCCTTGTCAGCAGTCTTTAGTCCATGAGGATGTGTGTTAGAACAGATCTGGAAGAAATAGTTCATGCTTTAGGTACACTTATGAGCTATCTATCGAAATTACTCCAGAGAATGTAGCTATGATATATAGTCTTTCAAAGGTAACCTGCTTCTTATGAAATATTCTGATTTCATGACTACCCAAGGTGTATTACCCTATTTCAAGCCTATGCTTACAAAAGTATCATAAAGTTGGATATTTAGAGAGACCTCAAAAACCTCAATTTTAAAGTGTGAGCATTGGAATAGTAAGTTATTTTCATATGGTCATAAATGTCTAAAACTATAAAACCTTTAACTTGTTTAACTTGTGTTGAGATTCTGTGTGTCTGATCTCAGCTGAAAAGTAGCGTGTTTTGGAAATTTTGAGCTGATCCTTCCAAAAATTTAAAACATGCAAACATGAAAAGATGCATTTTCAAACCTATTTTTTCTTAAACAATATCTGATGTTTGATATTAATTATGTGATTTGGACCTAGCTATAGCCATTTAAAAATAAATTTTAAATACTAAAAAAATCTGAGCAGACACCTTCTTTTTAAGGATAGTTTGATGTTAACACAAACTGAAAGGTTGTGTGGATGAGGTGTGGCCTTAACTGTGCCTTAAAATACTCTAAATGAGATGAAAAGCCCTGTACAGTACAGGCTTAGCAGGAAAAAGCAAAGGCCTTCCACAGCAAAACAGTGGATTACAGTGTCCTTCAGAGCACAGGAATGACCTTCAAACCATGTGTGTGCTTTTCAAAATTCCACATGGAAATCAAGCACAGCACCGGATGTTGTTGAGAAGTCTGTTCCATGGAAATACTGATGCAGCTGGGTCAAGGTACTCAGATGTTCTGCTGGCAGCCAAATCCAGCCTGCTTCATCATTTTACTGTCTAGGCATTAGCTGTGACAGGGGATTGCTGTTATATGGGGGTTTTCTTTCTTGAAACTATAACAGTCAAAAAAGCAAATTAATTAGTCTTACAGAAAATTAGATTTTTATCCCTGAACACTATATCTATATGCATAAATGTCATTATGCAAAGGAGATTCTATAGCAAATTTGTCTGGAGAAACTCCTGTAAATCAATCTGATCTACCCTACAACTGGGGGGTTGATAGTTCATATATTTTTTTCTTTGAAAAAAGTAGGAAAATGCTCTCAATTTTAAAATCTCGATGTAGCCTTACCCCAGTTGATTTATTGCTTGTAGAAGATTTCTCTCTGGCCAGATGCACTAAAGATAACAAGCATCTCTCTGGAGTCCCTTGCTTGTCAACTGCAGCTTCTTCATCACTATCCATACTCCGGCTTAGAAGTCGCTCATTCTCAGAAGATGCATCATTTTCACTGTAAAATGAAGATATGGTTATCTTAGTGAAGCCTCTCATGGACTGACCCTGGTCATCTTTTTGCTGTCTGACAGTAATGGAATGGAAGTGTTTTCCATTTTTAAAAATGCCTTTCCTCTGAAATCCTGTGAATGTCAGGGCCTTCACCAGCCCAGTGTGCATGTGCAGTGCCCACCAAGCCACACAGTCACAGGCAGCTCGCAAGAATCCTTTTATAGAGGGATTTTCCAACTGAGGACAGTGTTTAGCCCACTGTAATCATGTTACCCAGGAAGGTCTGGCTGCTGGGCAGAGGCAAGATAAGGAAAACCACCACACCATGCTATCCAGATGATGCTAGGGACAAGGGGTTTCCTTAAGGCCCTTAGCAGCTATATTTACTCTTCCTGCCTAGAAGGCAAGGGGAACCTCAGTAAAGCCATGTGAGTGAAAGCTGCCCTCAGGACCCAGAAATTAACCTCTCAAACAAGAAGATGGAATCCCAAGAGCTGATGAGTTGGTCACAGAGGGAATGGGGAGGACACAGGAGTCTCTTCACTATGTCTGTTATCATCTCTTAGAAACCAGAGGGGGAAATGCCTACTAAGGCATCTGGTCTTTGCCCTGCTGCAGCAACTTGCCAGCATACCCATCAAATTTGTGTAATGTGTTCCACTGTATCATGTGCCTCCCTCATTTCAGTGAAACTGGCAGTGTATTTATCTTTTACTCACCTTTTGACAGCCTTAGCTGGAGTTGCTGTAAGTTTTTCAAACTCTTCTTTCTCAGAGAATATCACAACATTATCTGTAGAACAGCAATTAGAGAAGTTTAAATTGGCAATAAGTTTCCAAACCAGTGCTTTGTGTCAGGAGTTCTGCTGGCAACCTTACTGACAAAATAAATCTCTCTGCTATATTTTTAACTGCTATCAGAGGATTATGTGACATTCTGGAAGTACAAAAAACTAGTATAGACAATTCTCGAGTAAACTTATGAGTTTACTTATTCCAAAGGACAAACTGTAATTAAGAGAAGAGTATTAAGGATATTTAAGCTCAGTGTTGTCTTGGATAGGAAAAGCAAAACTAAAACCACTGTACCTTGAACTTCTTTCTTCTCTTCTTGTGTGTTAGCCTGAGCTTCGACATTTTTTACTGAGTGGCTCTTGCAACAGGCTAGAATGTAAAAATGCAACACAAATCATTCTCAGAAGCTTTCTAAAAACAGCATTTGCAACCAAAATGTTACCTGCCGAACAATTACCTTGAGCAGATGGCTTTGTTTTTACAATGTAAAACATGATGATGAGGACAATAGCAATAGCCATTATGAAGATAGTAGACATAGCAATTATAAGAGCTGTAGCTAGATGTCCTTGTCCTGAAAGATCTGCTGGAATGAAAAAAATAAATGAAGGATCTCTTAGGATCAGAGAATAGTTAACAGTTTGCAGTCTGCTCTACACATAGTTCACATAATCATTTATTTGATCTGAGTCTTACTTGTTAAGCATTCAAAAACTTAGTGTTAAATCTCAAAGGCAAGTTAATTAAAATTTTCTCCAAATTTTGGTATTTATGCATAAACCAGTTAGTAGTGTTCATTAAGTCTATTTGATGGTATGATCCATCAGATACAAAGATGTGGGAAACCGTGTTTTAATATGGGAAGTTGTACATAAGCAAGAGTAGAAGCTTTTGTAGCACTGCATTCTGGGAATCAGCGTTGACAAGATGAAACCCAGTAAAATACACAAAGGGAATAAAAGCTAAAATGACTGCTGATAACTGTGGCTGCCTCAAAAGTTTTAAGTTAAAAGGAGGACACAATGCACACATAGAATAACAGATGTTTTTCTAACAGATCCTTAAAAAGCAGCATGAATTGAAGGTGAATTTAAAATAAGCTATGTGAAAAGATATTCAGAAAGAAAACTTTGATGCAAAAGGCTAGAATTGAAAAGGCATGAAAGGATGCAGAAAATTATAGATATGCTAAAAGGCATGAAAGCTTTAATTTCTCTGAAAATATGATCCTAACAGTCATATTTTCAGACAATACCAAGAAGAACAGCATTGTCAATACATCATTAACTGCACCTTTCCCATTTTGTCTTCTTAGGTCCAAAAATTTTAAAAGCCTAATGATCGCACTGGAAAACTGTTTATGTTAGCTCAATAAGAGACTGACCATATTTGTGCATGAAGTTATTTTCACTATTCTAAGCTAAGCTTTGCTGAGGCAGAGTGCTATTTCTGTAAAGCTACAAATTATGAGCTAAATTTATTGCTGGCATCACTAGGTACAGCTCAAATCCTTTTTACATTCCGCTGACAAATGGCAGTGATGATTAACTGGGAAACAGAAATGAATTCTGAATTATTTCTAATAGCAGTTTTAGAAATCTGGAAATAGTGACAATGACACTTTGTTGATGCCCTTTTTAAAACAAAAAGCTGCTAAATTAACCCTCTGAGTGCATTCTTACCTTTGTGAGCATGCTGGTAAGGTGAGAAAGTGCTTGTGCCAGAAGTGCTTGGGAAAATGGCTGAAATGCCAGAGTTAGTGCCTGCACCTGCAATATAAACAAAAATGCCATTAAATTCCATGGTTACTTTGTCCAGTCAAAGGAATACGTTGCCCCAAGGAAAGAGAGCCTTTACATGGCTTGGTTGTATTCCCATTTATTAGCGAAGGTCTTTGAAAGGTCCCTAATCCCGAAATGTGTTACTGGTACACTGAAAGCTGGGTTGCAGACCATGTTTTTGCACACTGTCCAGAGGGAGTGAAAGTCAAACTCCTGAACAGATATGAACTCAGAAGAAAAAGCCAACTGTTGCACACAGATTCCCATGTTACGGATATGTCCTGGAAAGCAGAAAGTTTTTCAGGGTCCAACTGATTGCTCAAATTGCTGAAGTTTACAACCCACTCCAGTATTTGCAACTGCAGACTGAGACTCAGCTGATATATTCATCAAACTAGTGCATCTCACAAGCAACCTTCACTACCAGCATCACTGTAAAGCTCTGGTGGTATGCAAACCCTCCACAGGAAAACGTGGGGAAGGTGACAAATAATGGTGTCGATTGCTTTTCTGTTCCATGGAGCTGTATTGCCATAAAAGGGAATTTTAGAATTTCCTGTAATGTAATTGGGCAGTGTGTTTCATATGATTTCCTGTCAGTCCAAATCTATATCCTGGGGAGAGTGAAAATTCACTGAAATAGTAAATGAAGAAGTTATAGGAAAACTTCATCCTGTCAGAGGGGTGAAGTTGTCCAATAGGGGTTTCCAGGTCTAAATTCTGCAGTCAGATTTAAAGCTAATCTTTCAGGTGTGAAAGATGTCATGCACCACGTTTTCAAAGCATTAAACCAAATCATAAAATAACATTTTGACAATAGCGAACAATAGTGCATATTATTTGGAATAAAGCTGCTTATTGGAATGCTTTTATATAGAAGGGTGTTTGCATGGTATTTCAAAACAGAACAAAAATATTAGGCTTGGGAGTAAACGTTATCTTCCTTCTCAAATGAACTTTAATGCTATTGGTAAGCATGTAATGCAAACAGCTACTATCAACAGACACTGAAAATAATTTTCTGTCTTGGAGGCAGTATGAAATTCCTCCTGCTTTGTATTAGTTATCTGTGGAAAAAGCACAGTGATAATTAAATTCAGCAGACCTAAAGGCAAAAAGCTGTCTCAGTCATCTGGTAAGGTGTGCACAGCACATGGCTCCACAAGCTGGTTTGGCAACTAGAGTTGATGAGAGCTCACTTCTTTTGACCAAGTAAATATTCCAAGAAATCAAATCACCAGGTACACTTGACAAGAAATCAAGTGGTCTGGAATAGTCTGAGAAATGTTCTATGGTTAAGAACAAAGCAATATGCATATTCTTCAAACGAAGAGAAATGGTTTTTTAAAAAGAAAAAAAGTATAATCTAAAATAAAACATGTTTGCATGTTGTGAATGAGAAATGTACACCAAAAGAGGCCAACAAAGCATGAGTTATAGAAGTCTTCAAAAGAAATTTTCTTTAACAATCATAAGGCTTCTTTTCATTTGTTGGAAGGAAATGGACTAACTCATAATAATTGATATTTTTTTCAGACTGAATAAGGGTTTGCATAAGGTTTTAAATATACTAATTTGTTAATTCAGATGCATTTACTATTTTGAAAATGAAGGCTAGATTACCTAAGTCTTGCCTCTGGTCCTTTCTCTGTGGCAGATGTCCTTCTAAGAATAATTAGTTATGAGCTCCAGAAACTGCAATGCAGTAAGACTATCTAGGGATCTGTAAATGAAGCTGTCATCTGCTTGTAGTGGACATTAAAGACAGGTAATTTGTAAAATATTCAGCAATTCTTCACAAAACTGAAGTGAATCATCCTTGGTCATGACCTCTGTGTTTACTCATTGTGGCTGGACAACAGAGGAAATTTAGCAAATGGCCAGTGCTGTAGCCTGACACTTTCCTTCGTGTTCATGCACAGCCACCAGGCTTACGCCTGTTCTTGCAGCCCCCCTGGCAAAGGCAATTACAGCCAATTGCACGGTCCTTGCAAGCTGCAACAAGTCAACAATAGCTTCTCTGACACTGCCTCTCAGTGAACACAGACAAGCTGTGTTGCTTTGCCTGCCTGGAGTTTAGCTAACAAGCTTCAGCTCATCTCTGCAAGTGAGTTTTAGCAAACTTGCCTCTCTTTTCCTTCACTTGAAGCATGAAGTCACTGAAGTGTTTATGCTTAATAATATTTCAGTCTCTTGGTATTGTTAAGTTTGTGTTCTTCACCCATCTGTGAAAGGAAGCCTTTCAAAGGAGGAAGTCAGGCAGCATTAAGGAGGAAGGTCACCACTCTTCATTCAGCATCATCATCACACTTCACCCAGCTCCACCCCACACCAGGGCAGGGCATGGTGCCCACACCATGCACAGATGTGGGCAGCACACCCCCTGTCCTGTGCACACCAGTGAGAGCCTTCAGCCCCAGAGCCTACGTGCAGAATGTCCTTTGCGTGGGAACGGAGCCACCGCGTTTGTTCTGCAGTGCTGGCATGGCAGAATCAAGGCTGGCACTAGAATGTGGTGGCCTTTTACACATGCCTGGGTGGGAGTTCGTCCTTACACATATTTTAAGTCTATTGTCAGATTTAATAATTTGGCATATCCATTATGAGCCAAGATTTTTCTTCAGATGTGGCTTGGAAGAAAGTGCCAATTCATGCACCTGCACTACAAGAGGAACCAAACTGCCACCTTCTGTGGAATTTCAGTTTATATCCCTTTTGTATGAGCAAAAAGAAACAACTCATAGCTGCTGCTTTTTCCCAGTCAGCACCACACCATGACTGCAATGGCAGTTGTTCTTGTGCACATCTAGTTTTGCATCCCAATCACATTATTAATTCTGCTTCTAATATAGATGACACATAATCTATAAAGACTTAGATATAACTCAGGCAGAGACATCTTAAGGTGTTATAGCACACCATATGGAAACAACTCCGTTTTTTAAATAAAGACTGATGGCTGTAATATAGCTGTGCAGAAGAGTGGTTTATGTTCCTAGACACCTGTATGTAATACTGTAGGAATGTGATAAAGAAATTAGGAAAAAAGTTTATCACTGGTGGTTGGTCAACTTTTGTATTATAAATGTTTTTATAAAAAAAAGTTTGGTTTAGTTGTAACTTTCTTGGAGTCTAAATAGAGTTTCAATTTTAAAAATGCTCCATATTTCTTGTTTAAAAGAACAATTGAATCTGTATTCACTTTTGAATGTTTGGGGATTTTAACTCAAAAGATAGCTTTAACTTAAATTACCATGCAGCTGCCTTTTGTTCTTTCAAGAAACAAATACTGGGCAATAAAATACTTTTTTGTTGCTGTTTCAATGAACCTTTCTGTTTGATGTAACAGACTATTCCAGTTGCTCTTGTACCTTGAGACAGAACTTACAATAAGAAGTGACAAACAAAACTACCAGATTTGTGAGAGGAGGAGGGAGAGGGCACAGGGAAAGGAGGTTTTACCACCATGCCCCCTTGCAAGTGTTTGTGAGTGAATAAAATCTGGTGCTGTAGGAGACCATATGTGCCCCTGACATATGTTGCTGTGGCTATCAGCTTACTGGTCCACTCAAAGGACTGCTGCTCACAACTAGCAACAGATTTTTTTTTTTTTTAGTCTATTTAATACTTAATAATATGTTATAAAAATCCCCAAAGCGTGTACCCAACAGACTATTGGAGTGATCAGAAAATAAAACATATTTAAAAATACTGGGGTCTATATATGTATCTATTTCTTGCTCTTGAGTGCAGCTTGCTTTCTCCTGATGCATCCCTCCTCTCCCAGGCATAGTCCAGCTATGAATGGCACAGATGAGCTGTGAGTGCCATCACTGAGACTCTTTTATGGGCTGAAGTAGGATAAAGCACACATGCAAATAAGTAACTATCAGCATGAAATATGAGATGAAACATAATTATACTGAGTTGAAATTCAATAAAAGTAGACAGTTAAGTTAAAACTGGATTTTAACTAAAAGTAGTCATAAATAAAGACCTAGATATGTAGAAAGCGGGGGTCCGAACTTTTAAATAATGTAAATCTGTATTCAGGTACTTACATGAAAGGTTTGCTTTCAAACTTAGGGAAACAACACTTCAAATGGAATGCCTGTGCACTTGGAAAGTCATGGAAGCTAAAGCAGCTGTCGAAGCCAACTTCCTTTCTGAGGTGCCTACATATGACTTCAGTAACCAAACACAAACCAACTCTGAAAATATCACAAATCACTGATAACAGAACATATCCTAGACAATGGAGGATTGCCTGAGTCATCTTTATTTTACAAAATACTATAAACTACTCTGTATTTTCTGGAGTCACAGGTAGATACTTCAGTTAATGAAGGCAGCTATTACACCAGGAAGAGCATGAAGTAAATTAATTCCTGAGAATTAAACTTCTGAAAATGATGATAGGAAAGTTCCCCTGAATTTTGTTTTCAGTCTGGTCAATCTCTCTGCAAATAACCACATCACATAAAAGGAATTTTTTTAAATGTTGTGCTTTCTATAATGTCTATAACTATTTTATTTCTCTCTCTATTTTGCCAGGGCAGGGAAATGATGATGATTATAGGCCACATGGCCTTAGTCTGACAATTTATTTGCATCTGTTGAAGTTTTGTTTAGGACTCACTGGGAGCCATAATAATTGCACAACACTGGGAAGTCACAGACAAACACTCCATTAACTAAGCCTCTGTCCAGGAATTCAGTGTTATCACCCCTTTCTCTGTGCAACATGGAAGGGATAATTGCTATTTAAACTTTGCTATCATGACTTTAAAGCATCATAAGGAAGAGAACAGACCTGCCTGGAGCTGGTCTCCCATTTCCCTGGTGTCCTGGTGGCCAGCCTGCTGGAATGGGTGGCACAAGGCTGCAGCTCTGCAGGTTTTTCAGCTCCTAAGCCCAGTCAGAGCAATCCTGCAGAGACCTGCAGTGTCTCCCACGGGCAGGTGGTGCTCACTGTGGGAGCTGCAGCT